CATCACTATGAAAGCAGAGGAGTGGGCAGGGGATGCACACATCAACTTTGAAAGCAGAGGATTAAGCAGAGGATACACAAATTGTTATAAGAGCAGAGGAGGAAGCGAGGATGCACACATTGCTATAAGCGGAGAGGAGGAGGAAGCGAGGATGCACACATTGCTATAAGCGGAGAGGAGGAGGCAGGGGATGCACACATTGCTATAAGAGCAGAGGAAGAAGCGAGTGAGGGGGCACACATTGCTAGGCGGAGGAGGGAAGAAGAGAGCAGTGGAAGAGCGGGGCATACGCCATTGCTATGAGAGCAGAGGCGGAAGCAGAGGATACACTAATTGCTATGAGAGCAGAGAAGGAAGCGGCGGATGCACGCATTGGACCAGAGGTGTGTGACTGATGCAGGGAAACGCAGACTTCAGATATGTGATAAACAATACAATTTATTAACACTAACAATACAAACATAAACGCAGTGCAATACTAAAACATAACACAGTGCAACCAAACCAAACCAACCACCCACAGATAACAGTATATACAAGCAAGCGTCGTCAGGCAGGCCGGGTCAATATCAATAGGGCAGGTAGGTACAGGGGGAGCAAGCAGAGAATGGTCGGGGTCACAGGCCAGGTTCAGCAGGTAGCAAGCAGCGTAGTACAGAGGGTCAAGCAGAGAGATGGTCAGGGTCACAAGCCAGGGATCAGGACAGGTAGCAGAGAATCAGACAGGAACAGAGAGCAGGAACAGGATACAGGGCCAAGAGAAACACAACACCAAGGCAGAGTCTGCAAGTCTGGCCATCCCTTAAATACCCCAGTATCATCAGTTCCAGGTGTTAGCTGGCTGAAAGGTTGAGTCTCTGATTGCTGGGAGCACCCGCTGGCCAGCCCTGGTACTGCAGATCAAAAGGCAGGTGAGTCCCACCATTGCTGGCCAGTCCATTCCTAACAGTACCCCCCCCTCAAGGAGCGGCCTCAGGACGCTCCAAACAGTCCTAGCTGGGCAAAATGTTCCACCGCCCGGGTCTGGCAACTGGCGGGATAGCAAAGACTGGCACACCGGGCAGGACTCCGGGCAGCGGCACACCGGGCTGGACTCCGGGCAGCGGCACATCGAGCAGAGGCACTCCGGGCAGAGGCACACCGGGCAGAGGCACATCGGGCAGGACTCCGGGCAGAGGCACATCGGGCAGAGGCACATCGGGCAGGACTCCGGGCAGAGGCACATCGGGCAGAGGCACATCGGGCAGAGGCACATCGGGCAGGACATCGGGCAGAGGCACATCGGGCAGGACTCCGGGCAGAGGCACATCGGGCAGGACTCCGGGCAGAGGCACATCGGGCAGGACTCCGGGCAGAGGCACATCGGGCAGGACTCCGGGCAGAGGCACATCGGGCAGGCACTCCGGGCAGAGGCACATCGGGCAGGACTCCGGGCAGAGGCACATCGGGCAGGACTCCGGGCAGAGGCACATCGGGCAGGACTCCGGGCAGAGGCACATCGGGATTACCAGGCGAAGCAGCAGGCAGCGGGCCACCGGGCGGGGCAGGCAGCGGGCACGGGCGGGGCGACAGGCACCGGGCCCCCGGGCGGGGCGACAGGCACCGGGCCCCCGGGCGGGGCGACAGGCACCGGGCCCCCGGGCGGGGCGACAGGCACCGGGCACCGGGCCCCCGGGCGGGGCGCAGGCACCGGGCCCCCGGGCGGAGCAGCAGGCACCGGGCCCCCGGGCGGAGCAGCAGGCACCGGGCCCCCGGGCGGGAGCAGCAGGCACCGGGCCCCCCCCGGGCGGAACAGCAGGCACCGGGCCCCCGGGCGGACACAGGCAGGCACCGGGCCCCCGGGCGGAGCAGCAGGCACCGGGCCCCCGGGCGGAGCAGCAGGCACCGGGCCCCCGGGCGGAGCAGCAGGCACCGGGCCCCCCCGGGCGGGGCGACAGGCATCGTGCCCCAGGCGGGGCGACAGGCATCGTGCCCCCGGGCGGGGCGACAGGCATCGTGCCCCCAGGCGGGGCGACAGGCATCGTGCCCCCCAGGCGGGGCGACAGGCATCGGCCCCCAGGCGGGGCGCAGGCATCGTCGGCCCCCAGGCGGAGCGACAGGTCATCGGGCCCCCAGGCGGAGCGGCGGGCGCCGGACCCCCAGGCGGAGCCCAGGTCCCAGGCGGGCGCCGGACCCCCAGGCAGCGGTCTCGGGCCCTCAGGCGGAGCGGCGGGCGCCGGACCCCCAGGAGGAGCGACAGGTCTCGGGCCCTCAGGCGGAGCGGCGGGCGCCGGACCCCCAGGTGGAGCGACAGGTCTCGGGCCCTCAGGCGGAGCGGCGGGCGCCGGACCCCCAGGAGGAGCGACAGGTCTCGGGCCCTCAGGCGGAGCGGCGGGCGCCGGACCCCCAGGTGGAGCGACAGGTCTCGGGCCCTCAGGCGGAGCGGCGGGCGCCGGACCCCCAGGTGGAGCGACAGGTCTCGGGCCCTCAGGCGGGCGGCGGCGGGCGCCGGACCCCCAGGTGGAGCGACAGGTCTCGGGCCCTCAGGCGGAGCGGCGGGCGCCGGACCCCCAGGTGGAGCGACAGGTCTCGGGCCCTCAGGCGGAGGAGGGCGACAGGTCTCAGGCCCCCAGGTCTCAGGCGGGGCGGGGCGGGGCGCCGGATCCCCAGGCGGAGCGGCGGGCGCTGGACCCCCAAGTGGAGCAACAGGTCTCGGGCCCCCAGGCGGAGCGGCGGGCACCGAGTCACCAGGCACGACAGTGGGCTCCGAGTCAACTGGTATGACCGCAGGCACTGGGTCAGACATTGTATGGTCTGGCTGGACAGCGGGCATCGGGTCACCAGGCATCAGGTCATTTGGCTCGACAGCGGGCACCGCGTCATCTGGCAAGGCAGTGGGCTCCGAGTCAACTGGTATGACCGCGGGCACTGGGTCAGACATTGGATCGTCTGACCGGACAGCGGGCATCGGGTCACCAGGCATCAGGTCATTTGGCTCGACCGCGGGCACCGCGTCATCTGGCAAGGCAGTGGGCTCCGAGTCAACTGGTATGACCGCAGGCACTGGGTCAGACATTGTATGGTCTGGCTGGACAGTGGGCATCGGGTCACCAGGCATCAGGTCATTTGGCTCGACAGCGGGCACCGCGTCATCTGGCAAGGCAGTGGGCTCCAAGTCAACTGGTATGACCGCGGGCACTGGGTCAGACATTGGATCGTCTGACTGGACAGCGGGCACTGGGTCACGCATCAGGTCATTTGGCTCGACAGCGGGCACCGCGTCATCTGGCAAGGCAGTGGGCACCGGGTCACCAGGCATTGGATCGTCTGGCTCGACAGCGGGCATCGGGTCACCAGGTATGACAGCGGGCACTGGGTCACCAGGCATCAGGTCATTTGGCTTGCCAGCGGGCACCGCGTCATCTGGCAAGGCAGTGGGCACCGGGTCACCAGGTATGACAGCGGGCTCTGAGTCAATTGGCACGACAGCGGGCACTGGATCAGGTACCGGATCATCTGGATCAACAGCGGGCATCGAGTCAACTGGCCTAATAGGATCGTCGGGCTGGATCAGTTCATCATGCGGAGTAGCGGCATCAGGCTGAATGCAGGCATCAGGCTGAATGCAGGCATCAGGCTGAGGAGAGGCTTCAGGCTGAGGAGAGGCTTCAGGCTGAGGAGAGGAGAGGCATCCGGCTGAGGAGAGGCATCCGGCTGAAGAGAGGCATCCGGCTGAAGAGAGGCATCCGGCTGAAGAGAGGCATCAGGCCGAAGAGAGGCATCAGGCCGAGTAGAGGCTTCAGGCTGAGTAGAGGCTTCAGGCCGAGTCACGGAAGGCAGGCTCACCGGTTTGGATACTGGCAGGATGGTATTGGTTGGAAAGAATTTTCGCTTTTTTCTGGTTTTAACTACTGGAGCACTGCAAGTAAACGCAGGTCTGCAAACGAATGGAGCACCTGGAGACAGAGAAAAACTGGAGGATGGAACAGGAGAGGGAGCAGTTGCTACAGAGGGCTCTTTTACAGGGTTAAAGGCAGGATAGGTGCAGCGAGTGGGAACAGGGGACTGACATGCGGTAGATAGCAGGGCAGGAGGAGCTGGTGGGAATACAGGAGTAGAGTTAGAAGCAGGACTGGGTCTTTGTAAGCTGACTGAGGCTGGGTGCAACAAGTCTGTCCATGTCTGCAGTAGGGGTTGAACAAAGCTGAGCTTACACAAAGCCTGTCTGGTCAATGACTGCACTGCGTTGATACAATCTCTTCTTAGTGTCTGTGGTGAACATGTGGAGTAACGCTCCAAAAGGTAACCCACATCATCCTCTAATAACCACACCAGGGACTCTACCTGGTCTGCACTAAATGGTGGCAAAAATTCATCCCTGCATTCGGGGGAACCAGATGAAACCAACTCTGCACAAACCTCAATCAATGGCTGCACCTCAGAGAACTCTGTGCCCTGATCTACTAGAACATGAGCGAGCCGTATACATTCTAGCAATTCATCCCGGGTATACTCCTTCAGAGTTTGATAAGCATACTCCCTGTCATCAAACACTAGCAGATATAAATACTCAACCTCATCAAGATCCATCCTTCCCATCAACAAGCCAAGATGGCTTCCCTGTGCAGCCACTTCTGGTCAGGATTGGCCTTGGTGTAATGTCAGGGCTCCCAGGTATGACCAGAGGTGTGTGACTGATGCAGGGAAACGCAGACTTCAGATATGTGATAAACAATACAATTTATTAACACTAACAATACAAACATAAACGCAGTGCAATACTAAAACATAACACAGTGCAACCAAACCAAACCAACCACCCACAGATAACAGTATATACAAGCAAGCGTCGTCAGGCAGGCCGGGTCAATATCAATAGGGCAGGTAGGTACAGGGGGAGCAAGCAGAGAATGGTCGGGGTCACAGGCCAGGTTCAGCAGGTAGCAAGCAGCGTAGTACAGAGGGTCAAGCAGAGAGATGGTCAGGGTCACAAGCCAGGGATCAGGACAGGTAGCAGAGAATCAGACAGGAACAGAGAGCAGGAACAGGATACAGGGCCAAGAGAAACACAACACCAAGGCAGAGTCTGCAAGTCTGGCCATCCCTTAAATACCCCAGTATCATCAGTTCCAGGTGTTAGCTGGCTGAAAGGTTGAGTCTCTGATTGCTGGGAGCACCCGCTGGCCAGCCCTGGTACTGCAGATCAAAAGGCAGGTGAGTCCCACCATTGCTGGCCAGTCCATTCCTAACACACACATTGCTGTGAGTGCAGAGGAGGAGCGGGGGATACACACATTGCTGTGAATGCAGAGGAGGAGCGGGGGATACACACATTGCTGTGAGTGCAGTGGAGGAGCGGGGGATACACACATTGCTGTGAGTGCAGAGGAGGAGTGGGGGATACACAAATTACTAGAGAGCAAAGGAGGAGAGGGGGATACACACATTGCTGTGAGTGCAGAGGAGGAGCGGGGGATACACACATTGCTGTGAGTGCAGAGGAGGAGCGGGGGATACACACATTGCTGTGAGTGCAGTGGAGGAGCGGGGGATACACACATTGCTGTGAGTGCAGAGGAGAAGCGGGGGATACACACATTGATGTGAGTGCAGAGGAGGAGCGGGGGATACACACATGGCTGTGAGTGCAGAGGAGGAGTGAGGGATGCACACCCTGGGCCTGCTCCGAAGCTTCACTCTCCACTCCACTACTGAGGCATGCTGTAGATGCTCATCTATCAGGTACTGTAAGGAGGGGAATTTGGGATTGGGATGATAACTTTTTACTGGGGGAGGGGGGCAAGTTGAGAGGAAATGGGGGAGTCGGTTTTGGTTTGAAGTGACCAATGAGATATGCAATCCTGAACTGTTTGTAGAGCACTCTGACTTGACCTCTGAGCATACTGTACACCAAATTTAAGAACGATTGGAAGGCCTTTCCTTCTGCTTTAATTTTGTTTGCTTACACAGTAATTGCATCCCCCTATACCATTGTCAGAAATAATATATCTATCCATATGTCAAGATCCCAACTATTCAACTGTGCACAGCCAAACTGTTTGCCCATTTTATTTATGTGCCTTATCTAACCTAACTTTAGACTGAAAACATCACATATACGATACCGTCTGTTAATTTTTTTTTAAATTTGCGTGGAACTGCATAAATATCAAATTAAAAAAAGCCTGACTAAGGTTTTAATCCCTCCTTCCCCCGTTCAATATATAGACATACTGTATATTTTAGTAATTTTTAATAGATCTCTAAAATTGACGCACCTCTTTCCACTTGCCCTGCTGCATGTGTCACTGAATTTCATCCTCATGAGGAGTTACCCCTGCCTGAAGATTTTCTGCATCTGAAACTTCTGGGAGTGTCGATTGTGACAGTCACGGTGTCAGACCCCTGCCCTTCTCACCAAACTTGTGACTGAAGGACTAGCCAATATAAAACCGCGATGTCATGTGCGTAACAATGCCCTGCCCAGCTGCAACCCTGCACAGCGATTTTCCAGCTAATGGACCACAATCGATGAACCGGCAGCCTGAGCGCAATTGTTACTGGGTCAGGTTAATTACGCGATTAACCCTTCACACTGCCCCCACCACCTCCTTTTTGTACAGAGAAAGAGGAAACTCGGCAATATCAGCAATAACACTATGATGGTTAGATAATTGTATACCACTGTCACCGCAGACAGGTTATACAGAGGGTTAAACACACACAGTAGCGTTCTTCAGCGGCATGAATTTGTGTTTGCATTAAAGAGCTTTAGAAACAGTTCAACACTTTCAGAAAGTAAGATTTATTACTAAAAGATGAAACCAATATATATATATATATATATATATATATACATATATATATAAATATACAGAGAACAATAGCACAGCAAAGAGATAACAGAAAGGAGGTTAAAGGGTTTAAAGTACTTGCCAATCAACCTTGGGTTAAGCAGTTTCAAGTCTTATGAGCTCAAAAAGGATTTCTGGTCTCTCACTCAGTTTCGATGTTATAGGGAGACTCTTCTTACTCTCACACCCAACTCCAAGCTTAACAGCCCTTTCTCTAGCAAATCACAGCAGGGTGTCTCTTTGGAGTAGTAAACCAATGGTCTCCTTTTGGGGAGGGAAGTGTAGGTGGAGACCTAAGTTATAATAATGCTTATATTTTGGCCCATAACTTTTCCTAGGTACATGTAACATCCCACCCCTGTGGGTAGATTAATATGCAGATGCATCTGTGGAATGGTTAGATATGAGATTTGAAATATACACTTGAATGGTTCAAAGAGATATACTTTTCTGCTTTTCTATGTATGCTCAGCCAAGGAGTGTGACATATCAAACGGTTTGTCTTATCAATCTGAAGATATGCCTGGTTTTTTTATGTATGTCTATCATATTCCAAGAGATGAGAACATGGGGGAAAATGGATTTTTGAATGTGGTATCTAGTTTATTACTCCTCTGGAATGTCTTTGTATTCATGGAAAGGCTTGGGTTTTACAATATGCCAGATTGCACATTTTGTTAGACAGCCAGGCACCCAGCTCCCTGGGGGGTTTTATAGCTCGGTTCTTCTGCTGTGCTTTGGCTGCCTATGACCTCGGCCAACACACAGGCCACATGTCACTGTGGATGAACAGAGAGGGAGGGGGGAGATGGGACAAAAATGGAGAATTCTTAACAAAATGGAGGGCCGCGTCCGGATCTGTGTGTACGATTGCTACATCGATCTCCTGATCCCTCATTGCACTCTGTAGATCTGCCCCCTACAGTTGGCGTTTGACACAATATGAAGTGTTGGACTGATTTTATAGTTACAATGAAGTTTTGTACATTAATATAATTTGGTTAATGCGGGGGCGATTTTTTGGGTTCCTATTGGAAACATTTCTTAAATAAGAACTTCATCTAAAACAATTTGCCAGCATGCAGCCTTTTTATTGCAGAAGAGACATGCTCTCAAACTTCTTTAGGATGTTTCAGTTATCTGTGCATACACAGCTCCATTCACATTCTTGGCATGCCTTGGTGCCAGGATGAGTTTCATTCCAGTGCGCTTACCACTGGAGATTCATGCTGAGCTGGATAACTAATAAAGATAGCATAAGATGGAAAACTTCGTAGAAGATTGGGTGAAGATGTCGGCACAACAGCGAGGACGCTCGCAGACGTTGCATAACTGGAGGGAAGGTGAGTATTGCAAATTTTAGTTTCCACTTTAAGTTGAGTTACAGGCATACCTCGGTTTACGAATGCCTCAGTTAACGTAATTTTCGGTTTACGAATGAAAATCCATTGAAAATAATGCCTCGGTTTCCAAATTTTTTTCGCAATACGAATATATTAATTGGTTTTCAATGCATTTTGCTAATTTTTTTTTTTAAATCATGTCCCTGTACAGTACTATGCCTTTAAAGTGCACTATATAAAGAGTTTTGAACAGATAAGACTTTTTTTTACTTTTCTGACCTCCGGAATGGATTAATTGGTTTTCAATGCATTTACAAATTTTTTTTTATCATGTCCCTGTACAGTATTTATGCCTTTAAAGTGCACTTTATAAAGAGTTTTGTACAGATAAAATACTTCTTTTTAACTTTTTTCTGACTTCCGGAACGGATTAATTGGGTTTTCAATGCATTTACAAATTAATTTCTAATCATGTCCCTGTACAGTATTTATGCCTTTAAAGTGCACTTTGTAATGAGTTTTGAACAGCTAAAATACTTCTTTTTTACTTTTTTCTGACTTCCGGAACGGATTAATTGGTTTTCAATGCATTCCTATGGGAAACCGCATTTTGGTTTACGAAATTTTCGCAATACGAAAAGTTGCTCAGAGCGCATTAAATTCGCAAACCGAGGTACGCCTGTGTTGCCTTTTAGGACTGTTTTGGAGGTCTTGAAGTTCAGCTCTCCGGGTATTTTGTACACTGTATTGTTTATTGGTATTTTTTTGGTCATTCTCATATTCATCTCTATTTTGTCTGTCTTTAAACAAGCATATCACGAGATTATTTTATAGTTTAGAAACTACCTGAAATGGTAATGGTCCTCCTTTTTATAGAGTAAGGCTAGCCACCCTCTGCAAAATTTTCTCTTGGTTAGCCAGTGGGTTGAACAAGCAAAAATCAATAAAACTTCTCTACTGTACAGTGTAGATGGAGGATTCTGCTCTGCCGGCTCTCGTATTTATTGGATGAAGTCACTGTTTAGGCATTCTGTTTCCACCTGGCTTAGTCAGTTTTAATCCAGTTTTGTCAAGCCAGGTGGTGCGTACAGAGCAACCCACAATTTGAGTTGTGTATGGTTAGCTTAAAAAAAACAGTGATCAGCTTTGGTTGGTGTGTGCCATTTTTTTTGTTTGTTTATTTGAAAACATCTCAAAGTGTGTCAGGTGCCGAAAATGCTTTGGTAGCAGTAGAGGGTTAAGACCAAGGGCACTGGCAGCCAGCCAGGTAAGTGTCCTTTGACTGGAAATTCTTTGTGTAATTTCTTTCGATAGCAACAGAGTCTCTGACCCCTTTCACTCAGGGCTAATTCCATTGCAATCAGCAGGGAATCTCTGAGCTGCTACCCTACTGATTAGGGCTCAGAAGCACGCCCGCAGGTGCATCTTTGTAGGAAGCAGCTTCCTATATGGGGGGTGCACTGGAAAAGAGAATGAGCCAAGATCACCAGCAGGGGACCTGAGAAGAGGTTCGGGGATCACCCGCTCTGTGCAACACCACTGCACAGAGCAGTTAACTATTTATGTTGTTGTTTAAAAAAAAAAAAAAAAAAAAAAAAAAACAGACTTTACATTCACTTTAAGGGCCCGGTTCACACTATAGAAATGCTGTCGAGATGTGTTCCCAATGCATTCTTTCATGTGCGGTTTATAAAAAAAACGCATTTCGGTGCTTTTTTTGATGCATTTTTGATGTGTTTTGTGCATTTTTTTGATGTGGTTCCAGTTCACTTTTCCCCTTTTTTCTTCAGTTTAAATAGGGACATGTGCATTCCAGTGCGTTTATGGTGTGTTCCACTGCATTTTTGATGCGTTTTACTGCGTTCTAGTACAGTTCTGTGCAGGATAATGGCCTCCTGTTTTTTTTTCTGTGCATCCGGAATGCACTGGAACTGGAAGCACTGATGTGAACTATGACATTGATAACCATTTAATCTAATTCTGTGCGTTTTGGATGCACTGGAGTGTGTACTAGCCCTAAGTCAGTTTTGGGGTGAATGACTCAGGTAGTATTGAAATTGGA